ATGGATTAAGATGGTAGAAGAAGAATCAGTGCCTTTGAGTTGGAGAAAAGTATGAATATTCCGTGGGCTGACAAAAGAACAAATTGGTGTCTTGGAGAAAGTGCAGCCAGCGTGCTCTCTGTTGGCCAAAATGATAAAACTTAGACTCACATACTTTGGGCATATCGCTAGGTGAGATTATTCCTTGGGAAGAGACATCACACTTGGAATGGTAGAGGGTCGTTGAGAGAGAAAGATCTTCGACTGGATAGATTGATACACTGACTGCAGCAATGGGCTCAAGTGTGTGCAGCAATAATGAGTGAGAATGGCACCAGATAGAACAGGGTTCAGACCTGTTGTTCAGAGGTTTGACTTGAAGGAGCACTTCACAAAAGCTGCATGTAAAAGGAGTTGGTATAGAACACACAGGAAAAATACATGTTGGCGTGTGTTTATGTGGGTATCTCTGTATATTCTAATTTAAGATAATATTTAATTTGATAATTTGCTTTCTTAGATTATTTAAAAAATAGAACCTTATCAATTCAAAACAGTTTCATTTGGTATTTTTCAAGTTAACACAACAGAGAACTGTCCCATAGGGTTTTCTATGCTGTGCCCTTCAGGAAAGCAGGGCTTCAGGTCTTTTGTCCTATAAAGTCATGGTGGTTCAAAGGCCAACCTTTTAGTTTGCAGCTTAGCCACTGCTCCAAATGGTAGCTTCTCTCTCTCTCTCTCTTTTTTTCAATATTGGGTTGCATACTAAATTCATATACATTATGTTTCATTTATGTGCATTGTGTTTCACACATTCCTTCATTAGCATTGTTTCACAGTCATTCCATACACTGTGATTTATAAAATTAGTCACTATTAATCTATGCCCACTATCACTTTATTTTTTCAAGTCATCACTTGATCTTTCCTAATTCCTTAATGTCCTCCCTCTGCCCATCAGTTCTGTGACCCAGTGATTTCCTCCCCTCTCCGCCCTCAGTCCCCCTGCCCTCTTTCCTTCCATCTTTGGACTTTTACACACATCATACTAGTTATTCGTAAAATATTGTACAACATGGGAGAGGCTAGAGAGTATCATGCTGAGTGAACAAACTCATTCTCACAAATACTGCATATGACTATTATAGTAAAATAGGAGGATAATTAGCAAAATGGCTTCTTAATTAAAAAAGATAATACATGTTTATTGAAGAAAAGCAAATAGGTCATGAAATGCAATTTATAAATAATAAAAAATTTTTGCCTTGAAATAACTTCTATTAACATTGGCATATATGTGTAAAAGATTTTCTATTGCATGTATATTCTTGCAAGTATGAACAGAGATCTCTAAAGAGGTGATTTCAGCAAACCAGTTTCATATCATTAAATACAGAATTTTTCCTTAGTTCTGGGGAATTAAATTCCACAAGTCAAGTAATTTTACTTTTTCTCACTGCTGATATTGCATTTGTCTAAAGAAAGGGACATGGTGATCTGGGATTCCTAAAAGAGAACAGGGTAAAATAAAGACTAAAACTGACTTGCTAAACAATGGGAGGTAGAGACATTAAGAACTTAAGAAAGACTTTAGCAATTTGACTATTTGGAGCAATATGGAAAAATATTTTTTGCTGATGAAGTTGAAATATTTACTATTATGGATGACTCCACCTGGGGAGAGTAGAACTGTGCCATAAGGTTTCTAGGTTGTGAGCGTTTGGAAGCAGATAGTCCAGTCTGCCCTCTGAGTAGTTTCTGGATGTATTTAAGTTGTCAACCTTTTGGCTACTGGTCAAACAGTAAGGAAATCATGGCAATTACTATTTTTTTTTCTTCCAGAAATAAAAGTGATACATGAAATGACTTGTTTTGGGCTCCTCCCAGGGTCTCTGGAACTGCTCTTTGCCAGAAGGAGCATGGTGGTGTGAGTGCAGGAATCTTGGCAAGCTTTTGGAGTCGAGAGCTTTTCCAGGCATGTGTTTGGCGTGCAGGTTTGCTCTGTCCCCGGGAGTGAGGCAAGCCAGGCTGGGCCAGGGTTTGAGCCAGGAGGCAGCCTTAAGCCCAAAGAGCCCTCGGGCTTGCATCCCTCCGGCAAGGTTCAAATTATTTTCCTGTCAAACATTCTCCTAGGTAGTATAGCACTGGTGTGTGCATTGTTGTACAGAGGTAACTCGTGGTTGCTGTGATGCTGAAGCCTGTGACAGTGATGTGCCAATTGTGGTAATGGGTACCCATGGTGGACAGTGTTGGCTGGAGCTTCCCGACTAAAACAAGCCTGGAAGGAGGAGCGGCATCCACTTCCGAAATGGCTTGCCTCCAGAAACTCTATGTACAAATAGTGCTCAGGCCATTCATTCATAGGGTCACTATGAGTTGTCTACGACTTGATGGCACCAAACAACAACAAACAAAATGACTTAACTTGTTCTCAAACCAATTTTTCTTGATAGTTTTCTGCACAAAATGAGTTACTTTCATTTCTTGATCAATAGAATCAAAAGTTGGAGGTATATGTGAGTGTGTGGTGGCCTAGTTGTAAGAACCTGAGCTGCAGTCCCAAAGGTACAAGGTATGAATCCACCGGCTGCTCTGCGGGAGAAGGCTGGGTAATCTCTTCCCTCTTCTAGAAGGTCAGCTATGGGTCAGTTCCTACTGGATGGTAAACAACAATTACACACATATATACATTTGTATGTTTATATAGGTTTATATGAAGGTGGCAGCAACAACCACACGTATAAATACTTAGTATTTATATCATAATAGATGAATTGCTTCAATATAAGAAAAATAGTAGTTCTCTTGGAATGTTTGAACATTCTTAATAAATTTCAATTATACTGTATACTATATATAGTATATCATTTTATTGTTATGAAAATAACTCACAGGTAAAAAAATACACCTGATCTTTATCCTTTTACCATTAAAGGTGTTCAGTGAAATAATTTGGAGACCACATTTCTAATGGTAAGGTCATATCCAGTTATCTTTATTATTGTATCTTGTTAATATTTTCATAATTATATTAATTAAATTAATTTTTACACTAAGTTAAAACTGAAAAATATATTCAGGCAGAATTGTTCTGATTCATCAGACCAAACAATGGTAACACTCTGCAGAAGTCCTTTTTATCTATAGATTTCTCCAAAGTACACAGAGATAATCTTACTGAGTCCCAACCCCCCACTTATTTCTTAACTGGCATGAAACAAAAAATATACTCATATCAACAAATATTATTAAACATAATATAGGATAAAGATATTTTAAGAAATGAGACAAAATATACCATAACTTCAAAACCATAAAATTTAATTATGTAAATCATAAAAAGATAGGTTGGTCAAATATGCTTTGTTGTACTTTATATATACATCAACATCATATATTAAATTCACTCAATGTATACTCATTGAGTTAAGAATAGCCATCATAACACTATAGTTTAAATTAAGACTTTATAGTGGAACTCTGGTAGTTTAGTAGTTAGAAGCTGCACTGCAATCCCGAAAGCACTTGGTTCAAATCTACCAGCTACTCTGAGGGTGAAGGATGGGCATTCTTCTCTGGTGTAGTTTATGGCCTCTGGAAACTCCTGGAAGGTAAGCTATGAGTCAGTTTTGATAAAGTGGCATACACCACCACCAATAATAATAAAAAAAATTAAATATTATATAAATGAAAATGTTGTTATTGATCTTGATTGCTTTCAAGTAGAGCATGACTCATAGCAACCCTATGAACAAAAAAGGCCTGAAACCCCTCTACAACTATCAACATTTATCAAAGTTCATAGAGTTTCTGGAGGCAAGTTATTTAGGAAGTGGATGTCACTTCTGCTTCCAAATATTATCTCAAATATTAACATAGTTGAGTGTAAATTAATATAATTAAATGCATGAAGTAAATTCTTCTTTTAAGTTGAATGAGTGAATACTTTGATACCTTGTTTACTATTTCAGGCATGTTGCTAGAAGGGGCTATTCCTTGGAGAGGGACACGATACTTAGAATGATGGAGGGTCAGCAAAGGAGAGGAAGACTATCAACCATAAAGGACAGGATAACCCCCAACCAGATGAATTGACATGGTGACTGCTGCAATGGGCTCTAGTGTGTCAAGAAGTGTGAAGGTGGCACAAATAGGGTGAGGTTCAGATCAGCTGTTCAGAGAGTCGTATGAACCATATTCAACTTGAGGGCACCTAATAACAACAACATGCACATTAGTACAAATATTATTATCATAAAAGGAAAAAGTTATGTTGTGGGCAGGCATTATTTTAAATATTTAAACTTTTAATTAAGAACATTTACATTCTTAAAGCAATCCTACATGCGTATATCATTATTCATCCAATTTACATATGAAAAGACTGAAGCTCAGATATTTTAATGAACTTGCTCAAAATAACTTTATTAGGAATTACAAGAGCTATAATTTGAAATTCATCAGGTAACTCAGAACTTCATTGTCTTATTTATAAAGTATTGAAGCGGTAGAACTGAGGTGTAAAAAATTTATTTTTAGAAGGTAGTTATCATGCTGTTGAGGTGCAGATTTGAAAGTCAATCAAATATAGTCTCTACCAAAGAAATTATTTCAGGCAGTGCATAATTACCTGCTTATATGGGTGAAGGAGATAATGGTACAATAGTTAAGTGATTGACTGCTAATAGTATTGTCTCTAGTTTGAACCCACAAGAGTCTAGACAGAAGAAAAGATAGCTAGAACTCCTCAGGCAAAGATTATTGTGTTGTTTTGGACCTTCGAGTTGGAACTGACTCACATGTGGTCCTTCAATGGATTTTTAGAAGCTGTAAATCATAAGTAACATTTCTCATCTTCCTCCCATCAGCAGAAACAACCTAAGAATTTAAAGTACATGAGGATATAGAATGATATGTGATGCTAAGTCTGGTTTTATTCACTTTGTCCCACAGTGTTACAATGTTATTTCCATTTCATTTTACAGAAAATTTTTCTGATCTGATCTCAGACATTTAAAATCATGGGTCAAGAAAATATCTCAAGAGTGACTGAATTTGTGTTGCACGGTTTCTCAGGTCCTCCAGAGCTACAACTTTTCTTCTTTGTATTCTTCACACTTCTCTATTTATCCATTGTGCTGGGAAACGTCCTCATTGTGTTTACAGTCATCTCGGAATCTGCACTACACACACCCATGTATTTTCTGCTCAGCAACCTCTCCTTCCTTGATGTCTGCCTGTCTACCTTCGCCACACCCAAAATGATCTTTGACTTTTTCACAGACCACAAGACCATCTCCTTTGAGGGCTGCATGGCCCAGATATTTGTTATGCATGTCTTTGCTGGTGGTGAAATGATGCTTCTTGTGGCCATGGCATATGACAGGTATGTAGCCATATGTCGACCTCTGCACTACGCAACCATCATGAGTATACACAAGTGCACAGGTCTTGTGGTGGGCTCTTGGCTCATTGGCATCCTACACTCAATAAGTCAGTTGGTCTTCATAGTAAACCTTCCCTACTGTGGTCCAAATACAGTGGAGAACTTTTTTTGTGACCTTCCCTTGGTTATTAAACTTGCGTGCACTGATACTTACATCCTTGAGATCCTAATGGTATCAGACAGTGATATAATGGCTATGAGCTCCTTTGTGCTCCTGCTTATCTCCTACATGGTCATTCTGGTTACTGTGAGACGACAATCATCAGCAGGCGTGGCCAAGGCCCTGGCCACCCTCACTGCTCATGTCACTGTGGTGACCCTCTTCTTTGGACCTTGTATCTTCATTTATGCTTTACCATTCAGCAACTTACTACTGAATAAGGTTCTCTCAATATTCTATACTGTTTTCACTCCTCTCTTAAACCCCTTGATCTACACTTTAAGGAATAAGGAGGTAATATTGGCTATGCAGAAACTGAGGAAGCAATGTAGGATTTCCTAACACTTTTTGGACTCTCTTTGGAGATAATGTCAACCATGTTAAAGACATTCACATGTATCTTTTGTTTTTCAAAGTATTTGTAACTGAACAAAGAAATTATATCAAATTCAGATTCACTGTTATCAAGTTGATATATAGTCTATCATAATTTCTGTTATGAGTTTGGTATTTCTAACAATGTGTACTCTTACTGCAAACTGTCAAAACTTGAGATTTAAATAGTAATAGATTTTGTTATCTCATTAGCTGAACTCAGAAATCAAATAGAATAATGTACTTAACCATATAAATGTAGTATACTTTACAGTTACAAGTAGCAAACGTGGGCCTATGATTTATGACTCCTTATCTCAGTATATTAAATTGAAATCTAAAATTTCCTCTAAAAGTGAACAGTTCAATGACACATCACAAAAATAGATATATCTCAATGTTACAGATTTTGTTTTGGTGCCAACTGAAAGGCATGCAATTTGAATCTATGAACTCTTCTGGGGGTGCAGGGGTAGATGAGCGAACTCCTCCCATGTAGTATACAGCCTCTGAAAGGCCACTGGAGGATTAGCTATGGGTCAGATCTGACCAGATGGCACGTAACAACAACTTTATATATATATGTTAATATGATACAACAACACTTAACAGCTAAATATATGGCTTCACTCTAAGGTAGTATTTATAGTGCTCTAAGGTCCACTGTCTAATCTACACCAATTCATAATTGTAAAACATATTCTTCAAAGCTCTCAAATAGTGAAACATCATTACTTTTACTTTTTTAAAATGTGTACATTATTTAGTAATTATGCAATTCGAAGTGGAGGGACAGCACAAGAGAGGAGGACCCTAGATGAGATGGATTTACTCAGTGACTGGGCTAGTGGGTGTGGGTATGTTGGAGATGATGAAGTTTGGCACAAGATAGGCAGCATTCAGAGCTGTTGTACCAATGTTCGCTGTGAGCCGAAAGTGACTTGACAGCACTTAACAACAACAAACATTATGTTTGAGATATTTCCAGATGTATTATTTTTTTGTTGTTTTCATAGAATTTGCTTTTGAAACTATAAATAAATGACTGGGAAAACGGACTCATCTATATCTTGAAAAAACAGTCTTATTTCTTTTGAACTGAAATAATATTTAATACAAAATTTCTACAAAATTAGTGCATCCATAAAACTTATGCTTCTTACACTCAACATGATAAGTATTAAAACTTACAAAATATGAAAACAATGTGACAAATTTAAATGATGTTTAAGAGGTAGTATTTAACTTACACTTAAGTTAGTCTTTATTTTAATTGGCATCACATTCTAAAGTTTTACCACTATCTTGATCTTTTGACTTTAGTATTTGAAAAAGAAAGTCGTATACCAATGAAGTTAAAGCTTTTAAAATTGTGTGGGAGAAATAGTAGTGTGGGATGGGATTTAATAATAATTATGCTTTTAACGGGAAGTTCTGCTGGCCTCGTGGGTAAAGAGTTGCAATGTGAATTCAGAGACAGGCAGTTGAAATCTATCAGTCGTTTCTTGGGAGAAAGGTGGATAATCTCCTCCCATATCATTTACAGCTTCTGAAAACTCTGGAGGATTGGCCATGAATCAGTTCTGACACTGGGTTAGTAAGTTGCTTTAAACAATGTTTAAATTACTTTTTTATTTTATAAATATATTATTCTGCAAAACCTGTCTATTCTTTAACTCAAAATAGGATGATAAAAAAAGAAATTATTACTGCATCTGGTATAGAGGTGTATCATATGATTATGATAATATAAAATCAACCTTATATTTAATGATCATTAGGTGTGGTCCACGAGGAATTGTGCTGTAAATCTTAAGGCAGCACTGCTCTGGAAGCTTGACTCCACCAGCAGTTTCACGGGAGAAAGATGGGCGATCTCCTCCTGCGTGGTGTGTAGCCTGCAAAATATCTCCAGAGGGTCATCTTTTTTACTATGATGGCAATGAGTTGAGAATTAATTCAATTTAATTTATTCTCACAAGATAATGATGGGTTAGGAAAAAAAATTACACCCATGAATGACCATATTGAAACTTAGGTATTCATAGATCCTTCCATCAAAAATATGTATGAATTCAAGAAGCGTTCCTTAAAATAAATACATGAACACGTGTTTGGGTAGAAAAAAGTTTTAGAAGTGATTTCAGACAATGTAAATGAAACTGAAAATTAATTAGGGAAAATTTTTGTCCCTGTAAGAATGTGAAGTTGAATTATACCCCTTGAACTTAAGTCTCTCAGAGTTTAATCCTTCAGTGAAGGTCCAGTTTAAAAGTGTTACGACTATGTGGAACAAGTTCTAATTGCCCTTGTCTACGGATTAAAAACAAACTTTACTCTTGGAAATCATAATCATGAGATTGTCTGCATATGAAATCAGAGTTTGAATTTATATTCTCTGCAAAGCCACTTAAAGCTTCAATCCAAACCCAAACAAATCTGAGGGAAAAAACCACAAAACAAACCAACAAAATTACAGTCTACTTCAATGATGGTTTTGGGGCATCTGAGAAAATAAAAAAAAAACCCTGTGTACTGACTCACATCTTTAACATTAAAAATTAAATAGAATTATTGCCTTGTTACCCCAGTCACTGAGTCAATCCATTTCATTCAGGGTGTTCATCTCTTGCACTGTCCATCCTTGCAACATGATCAAAATTGATGTCTTTGAGCTGTGGTGCTGGAGAGGAGTATTGAATGGACTGCTGGGAGAACAACCAGATTCTTCCTGGAGAGGGTGAAAACAGGTTGCTCCTTGGAGCCAAGGATTCTGAAGCTTCATCTGTCATACTTTGGGCATGTTACAAGGATCAGTCTTTAGAGAGGAACATCATGCTTGGAAAGGTGGAAGGACAGCCCAAGAAAGGAAGAGTCTTGATGAGATGGATGGACTTAGTAACTGGGGTCATGGTGGTAGGTGTGTCAGAGATGGTGATGTTGGTTCAAGATAAAACAGGGTTCATAGCTTCTGTACTTTGGGTTGCTGAGAATCACAAGCAGTTCAACGGCACATAACAACAACAACAAGATAATTTGTGACCAGCAGACTGTTCCTAAGAGAATGGATAAAGGAATGAGCAGAAAGCAACCTGAGGGCAGGTGTGTGTGTGCGTGTGTGTGTGTGTGTGTGTGTGTGTGTGTGTGTGTGTGTATAGGGATAATATTGGAACAAAGTTACAGGTGCATGCAATAGACATTTTCTCATACCTTTGTTGTTGTGACCAATCTAAAGATTAGAGAAAATTTCAACATTGTCTGTTGTAGCTTGAATTGTATGCAGAAGATTTATGTATTATATGAAAACAACAACAAAAACCAAGCAAAAATACATTTCAAACAGAAGCATGTAACAATACAGGAATCCTGAAAGTAAAAGAATGGAATGTTGTTGTTGATGTTATGTGCCATCGAATCACTTGTGACTCATAGCGACCCTCTGTACAACAGCCCTAAACTCCGCTCTGTCTGGTGCCAATTGCACTGTCTCTGACACTCCCATACTGATTATCCCAGTCACTGAATCAATCCACCTCATAGAGGGCCTTCCCCTCCTGCACTGTCCCTCCACCCTCCCAAGCATGATGTCCCTCTCCAAG